TGAGGCAGGAATCTCTTGCTTTGCCCGTGCTTGGATCTGGGTCACAGCTCTGGGTGGCAGTCCTGGGGTGAGAAGGAGCGCTGGCCCGGTGGAGCTTGTAGTGGCTGTAGAGAGGAAACCTTCCTCACAGTTCCAAGACAGAAAAGACTGCTTGGGGCCAGTCACTCAAAGACCAGAGCTCAGGCCAGGAAAAGAGTAAATACCCTTATCGTACCACCTTGGAAGAACTGAAAATTTACAGGTCCCTACAAGTATCTCTGAAAACAGCTACACAAACCCCTGAAGCTTGGGACAGTACATTCTCCACATTGGAAGCAGACTTTTACCTTAACAAAGAGTTTAAAACTCAAGTAATTGGCTGGGATCATGAGCAAGCAGCGCAAAAAGAGTCAGACTATATTATCTTACTTTGGTGACAAAGAAGATCAAAACATACAACCAGAAGAAGACAACAAAGTCAAAGCTCCTACATACAAAGACTCCAAGAAAAATATGAATCAGTCTCAGGCCTTGGAAGAGCTCAAAAGGGATTTTGAGAAGCAAGTAAGAAGTAGAGGAAAAACTGGGAAGAGAAATGAAGTGATGCAAGAAAATCATGAAAAACAAGTCAACAGCTTGCTAAAGGAGACCCAAAAAAATACTGAAGAAAATAACACCTTAAAAAATAGCCTAACCCAAATGGCAAAAGAGGTCCAAAAAGCCAATGAGGAGAAGAATGCCCTAAAAAGCAAAATTGGCCAAATGGAAAAGGAAGTCCAAAAGCTCACTGAAGAAAATACTTCCTTAAAAATTAGCATAGAGCAATTGGAAGATAGTGACTTTATGAGAAATCAAGACACAGTAGAACAAATCCAAAAGAATGAAAAATTAGAAAAAATGTGAAATATCTCATTGGAAAAACAACTGACCTGGAAAATAGATCCAGGAGAGAGAATTTAAAAATTATTGGACTATCTGAAAGCCATGATCAAAAAAAGAGCCTAGACATCATTTTTCAAGACATTATCAAGGAAAACTGCCCTGATATTTAGAACCAGAGGGCAAAATAGAAATTGAAAGAATCCACAATCTCCCCTGAAAGAGATCCCCAAAGGAAAACTCCTAGGAATATTGTAGCCAAATTCCAGAGTTCCCAGGTCAAGGAGAAAATATTGCAAGCAGCCAGAAAGAAACAATTCAAGTATGTGGAAACACAATCAGGATAACACAAGATTTAGCAGCTTCTACATTAAGGACCAGGGCATGGAATATAATATTCCGGAGGGCAAAGGAGATAGGATTACAACCAAGAATCACCTACCCAGCAAAACTGAGTATAATCCTTCAGGGGAAAAAATGGTCATTCAGTGAAATAGAGGACTTTCAAGCATTCTTGATGAAAAGACCAGAGCTGAATAGAAAATTTGACTTTCAAGTACAAGACTCAAGTGGAACATGAAGAGGTAAACAGGAAAGAGAAATCAAAAGAGACTTATTAAGGCTGGACTGTTTACATTCCGCATGGAAATATGATATTTATAATTCATGAGACCTTTGTCAGCATTAGGGTAGTGGGAGGGGAAAAATTATATGTATGTATAGATAGATAGAGGGCACAGGGTGAGTTGAAGATGAAGAGGTGATATCTGGTGAATAAAATTAAGGGGTGAGACAGGATTATACTAGAAGGAGAAAGGGAGAGGTAGAATGGGGTACACTATCTTGCACAAAACAGACAAGAAAAGGTTCTTATAGTGGAGGGGAAACAGGGGAAGGTGAGAGGAAATGAGGGAATCTTATTCTCATAGGATTTGGCTTAAGGAGGGAATAACATACACACTCAATTGGGTATGTAAATCTGTCTTACCCTATAGGAAAATAGGGGAGGAAGGGGACAAAAGAGCAGGGAGATGATAGAGAGAAGGGTAGACTGGGAAAAGGGTAATCAGAAGGAAGTACTTCTGAGGAGGGACAGGGTCAAAAGAAAGAATAGAATAAATGGGGGGGCAGGATAGGATTAAGGGAAACAAGAGTTAGTTTTTCACAACATGTCTACTATGGAAGGGTTTTGCATAACTGCACATGTACAGCCTGTATTGACTAGCTCGCCTTTTCAGTGAGAGTGGGTGGGGTGGGAAGAAGGGAGAAAATTTAGAACCCAAAGTTTTAAAAACACGTTTAAAAAAAAATGTTTCCACATGCAACTGGGAAATAAGAAATACAGGAAATGAGGTACATAAATCTATCCTGCCCTACAGGAAAATGGAAGGGGAAGGGGATAGGAAAAGGGGGGGGAAAGATAGAAGAGAGGGCAGACTAGGCCAAGGGGTATTCAGAATGCATGCCATCTTAGGGTGGGGGGAGGGGCAAAATGGGGTGAAAATATGGAATTCAAAATCTTGTGGAAATAAACGTTAAAAACTAAAAATAAATAAATTTATATACAAAAAAAAAGGAAGAAAGAGAACACCAGTCTGTTAGGCCAGGATCTCCAGGTTTCCTAGATCAGGCCAATGGGCTTCTCCATTTCACCATTCCAGCAAGTCACGAGTGAATGAGTTAGATGTACTGAGAAGGTGTGACTAGACTCAGGTGAAAGAGTAACTTCCCTTGGCCTTTGGGGTAGAGAGGTGTGAAGGCCCTAGGCAAAATTTAAATGTGCAATTTGTTTGTAGGCTCCTCCTACCTTCTTTCTTTACCCCTACACAGAATTTTCAAAAGGTTCAAACAACCTCCAGTCTACCTCTGGCTCAGCCACGCCCCAAGAGCCTGTCACCCTTCCCTCTCTCACTTACCATGAAAACTCCCTTTGACTTAGCAAAAATTTGGTTCATTGCTCATGCCCAAGCACTAAAGCCTGGGGAATCTCCAACCAGCATAATTTTAGGTAATGTGGGAGAAACATTGGGAGCCAGGTGTGAGTGCTTTTAGCTTTGTTTCCATGGAAGGGAAGGGGAACATTTATGCTAGGTAGAGAGGAAAACTAGGTAGAACAGGTGGTTGGTAGTTCTCAGGTTCCTCTAAAGCAGGGATTTTGAATTTGGGTTTAATTTTTTTTAAATTGCATTTCAATGTAATTGGCTTTATTTATAATCCTATGTATTTTTATTTTATACATTTAAAAATATTATTCTGAGAAGGGGTCTATAAGCTTCACCAGACTCTCAAAGGGGTCCATGACAAACACACACAAAAGGTTAGGAACTTCTACTGTTAAGATAATAACAATAACCAGCATTTATAAAATACTTTTTTAAGGTTTGCAAAGTACTTTACAAATGTCATCTCATTTGATCCTCACAACAACCCCGGGAGGTAATTGTTATTATTAGCCTCATTTTACAGATGAAGAAAGTGAGGCAGACAAAGGTTAGGTGACTTGCCCAGCCTGGATCAAACAGTGTCTGAGGTGGCATTATAACTCAAGTCTTCCTGACTCCAGGGCTCATGAAAACTCAAGAATCTTTAACCCAGAGAGACCCAGGGAGCCGAGCATTCTTATTTCTACACCCTGGGCCTACTAGGAGCCCCAAGCTTTGGTGGCTGTCCACCTCCAAGTGCTGGAAGCCAGGACAGCCCCATGCCAGGCTTTGCTAAAGGCAGGGTAGCTGCCTTTCTTCACTATAAGATTTGTCTACGTATTTATATCTGATTTAAGGTCTGACTGAGGCAGCCTTGATTTCAAGCTCAAGGGAGAAAGTCAACAGTGACCAACTCTTCCAGACTCCTCTCTCCATGTGGGGCTGATGGACTTCCTGGGAGGGGAACAAAAGGAAAAGATAGCTTATGACTCCCAGATCCTGAAACAGGTTATGGAGAAAAGATAAGTCCTGAACTCCTCAATCCATAAACCTTCAGAGATCTTAGCTTCCTGCTTTTCTCAGTTCTACCATACCTTCCCTTCTCCTAACCCCAGAGACTTATTGCCTAATATTAGTTTTATACAGCCAATAAATTTACCATTTATACCGAATGATCAAGTAGTACAAAGATTTATGACCACATGTCCCATTATTAACTTTAAGTTTTATTTGTTTATAATTAATATAGTATTATAATATAATATAGTATTATAATATAATATAGTATAATACAGAATATATTATTACAATATGATACAATAGTCTTTTAGGCAAATGTATCTTTGGTGTTCAAACAACATGGTCAGCCCATCTGAGCTGTATTCTCCACAGGACTCACACGAGGCAAGCTTTGCTCACACAGAGGTCAAAAGAAGCAGTACAAGGACACTAGAGGTCTTTCTTTGGAATGGATTGTGAGACATGCAACACACCAGCACAGGACCACTCAGCACTACATGCCCACAATCAAAGAAGTTGCCGCGCTCAATGAGCAAAACAGAATTGCAGTAGTTCAAAAGAAATGTGAGATGTGCCAATTTTAAGGCATCTCCACTCCAAACGTTCATATGGACTATTTGTGCCCAACCTGTGGTAGAGCCTTCTGAGCTCATATTGGTTTGATCGGTCACAGTTGGATATACTATACCTTGACCCCTACATAGTAATGTCATTGCTTGGTCCTCTTCAAGAATGAAGGATGGGGGCAGTTAGGTGGCGCAGTGGATAGAGCACCAGCCCTGAAGTTAGGAGGACCTGAGTTCAAATCCAGCTTCAGACCAAACACTTGACACTTACTAGCTGTGTGACCCTGGGCAAGTCACTTAACCCTGCTTGCCTAAAAAAAAAAAAAAAGGAATGAAGGATGACAACAACCAACCAGTATAACACAGTATTTTATTTTATTATAATACAGTATTTTTAACTATGTCACTTTCAACATGACATTGGACAAGCCAAGTATGTGACTCTTCAGGCCTTGGTTTCTTCATCTATAAAAAGAAGATAACAATACAGAGAACAAAAGAAAACCTAGAAAGAAGCAAAGAAAAGTTGGGTAGCTTTGAAAACAATGTAGTATTTATTATATAGGTTTTCTTGAAATGGAAATTTATTGTTTTATATTGAATCCTCTCCTGTGTTCTGCTGTGTACATGGAAATATTCTTTTTTTTCTTTTCTTGTTTTATATTTAAGTTTAAAATGAATAAAAAATTTATAAAAAAAATACAAAGGTTTTGATGCATACATGATAGTTTTGATGTGAATCCACAAGAAAAAGTTTAATGGTGATAGATCAGAAAACTGATGTGGCCAATTAAGAGGACCTCTAACCAATCAATGAGCATGAGAAAGTGTCACCTAGAAAATGTCACATGTATAATGCATAGTATTAACATGAAAACATGTTCAAAATTCATAAAACCCAATGAGTATAAAAGAAATTTAAATGGTGAGACTTTCAAATAATGTTTTTTGATTGTAGCATTTACACTTCTGAAGTTATGATAGCTTAAAATTGTACTAAGACTTTTGGGACAAGCTATGTATTCTTGGAACACCCCTCCTCCTAGCAAACAATAAAACACATATGATATATCACATCACAGGCTCAAGATTATAAACTTGGGCTCAGAAAGGAATTTAGTACTACAATCCTTACATTTTACAGATGAAGAAAAGGAGGGCCTGAGTTCTTTGTGCTAGGTCATAGAGAATGAATGTTGTAAGATAGAAATGGATGTTGTCACATGCATTTGATAATCACTTGAAAGTGCCTATATGTGCAAAACACTATTAGATGCTGGGGAAATTAGACAGAAAGATAGATAGGTAGATAGATAGATAGATGATAGATATAGATAGAAAGAAACAGCCAGATATAGTTAGAGAGATGGTAGATAGAAAGACAGATGATAGACTGATAGAAAGGCAAGTGATAAAAAAGACAGAAACCAATGAGAGAACAAATGATTATAGACAGATGGTAAAAATATAGATGATAACCAAATGAGATTGTAGCTGATGATTGACAGACGAATGATCACGTTTGATACCTCTAGCCTAGAGGTGTCAAATAGCAGGGTAAATAAGTTGTCCAACCTTACACAGCCAATACGTGACCAAGGTAGGACCTGAACCCAGGTCTTCCTGGCTGCAAGGCCAGCTCTTTAGCTACTACACCAGGTGGTTTCTCAGATACAATAACAGCTGCTTTTCAGCCCCTCGAACTTGCCATCCATAATTCTTTGGCTTTGCAGAATAACTTGAACTCTGCAATATCATGTAGGGGAGGGGGAAAAGGTTTGAAATTTCAGCTGGTGCCAGACTTCCTGGAGTTCCATCATGTTCCCAGAATAGCTGTGTTTCCAGCAGCTTTCACCTGATACTGCCGCTGAGGCACCAAGGGAAGAGGATGGATCAGGCCTCTCCAACAGGGCCAAGTAGCTTCTGGAGCAACTGGAGCTGGACACCCTGGGAATCCCGACCCCTCCAGGTGAATGTCAACCCCAGGGCCTGCAGGACTTCTCCCTTTGGCACCATTGTCACTACTGCCCCCGAAGCCAGGGTGGTGGAGGTGGGGCATCCATTTCTCAAAAATGTGTGTGATGTCCACTGTCCTAAACCATCCAGACAGCTGGCTCTGAGCAGAATGACGTCATCAAATGATTGAAGTAAGGAGAGGGCAGGGGTGGATAGGATATGTCTAGTGTGGGCATGGTGCACACTAGGATGTTACAGGCTTAAGAGCTGTTAAATGGTAACTGGGAGGCAGAAGAAGGGAGAGAACCAGCCCTGTCACTGTTTCAGGAATATAGTCTTATCCTGGCACAGTCCTGCCTTGAGACTGAGTTCATTTCCAGAGTCTCCATTAAACCAAAGAAGGAAGACCTGGAGTGAGCAGCCAGAGTGCTACTTCCTTTGAGCCAGACGGCAGGCGGGATTCTTCTCTTTACATACAAGTTTGTGTAATAAAAAACCATCAGGCTAGAAGCATGAAGACCTGGGCTCCATTGGGCAATGTGACCAAATAACCATGTCACTACCAACATGACATTGAACTCCAAGTACATGACTCTTTGGGCCTTAGTTTCTTCATCTATAAAAAGAAGATAACAATACACATACATGTTCATGTGTATGTGTGTATATATACACATACATATACAAACACATTATATATATATATATATACATATATATATATATATATATATACATAAATATATACACATATACATAAACATACGCACACACACATATCAGCTAAGCGGCTTAGTGGATAGAGTGCCAGTCAGGAAGACTCGTCTTCCTTAGTTCAAATCTTACTAGCTGTGTGACCCTGGGCAAGTCACCTCACCCTCTTTGCCTCAGTTTTCTCATCCAGAAAATGATCTGGAGAAGTAAATGGGAAACCACTCCAGCATTTTCGCCAAGAAAACCCCAAATGGGGTCATGAAGAGCCAGACATAACTGAGAATGACTGAACAACAACATATATATGTGTATATATGTATATACACACACTGCCACCAAAAAGCACTTCAGAAATATGAGATAATTATTATCAATGCAGCAGCTGCCTGTTTGAGCCTCTGTACCTAAGGAGCTGGGAGCACAAGCAAGAGAGCCAGGGACCTGCACCTATGCCTAATTACCTAAGCTTGTCTGCCTATAGGTGAAGCTTTGTTGTACATCTGATTTAGCTCCATCCCACACTCACACTGCTTCCCCCATCCCCCAAACACCTTTTAACAACTCTTGAGCCAATAATATCCAGTCCAGTTAGTTCTGCTCTCCAGTCCAGAGTAACCTAAACAGGGCACGCCTATAGAATCACTTAAGTTAGAGCCTGGAAGGCACTTTGCATAGTGTTTCGTTGTTCAGTCATTTCAATGGTGTCTGACTCTTCATGACCTAATTTGGGATTTTCTTGGTAAAGATACTAGAGTGGTTTGCCATTTCCTTCTCCAGTTCATTTGACAGATGAGGAAACTGAGGTAAACAGGCTGAAGAGACTTGCCCAAGGTCACACAATAAGTGTCTGAGGCCGAATTTTGAACTCAAGAAGATGAGTCCTCCTGACTCCAGGCCTGGCACTCTATCCACTGCATCACCTAGCTGCCCTTGCACAGTCTGACTCCCTCATTTTTCACATGAAGAAACCGAGGTCCAGAAAAGTTATTTTTCCCTAAGGTCCTGACTTTCCTAAGGTCACACAGATAATTAATAGCACATCTGGGATCTGAACCCAGCTCCTCTGATTCCAAATCACATGCTGGTTCTACTATACAGCCCTCAGCCTCCTTGTCCCTCTTAGAGAGCCTGGCACTCTATCTGCTTCTCTCTAATCAATCGATACTTTTCTTTAGCGAATGACTATGCTGTGTAAGGTATTGTGCTATATAGTATAGTGAATATGGATTCAGCACAGACAGACTCAAATCCAGGCTCTGAGACCTACTAGTTGTGTGATCCTGGGCTAGACAATTAGCTCATCTGTAAAATGGTGATAGCACCTACCTCACAGGGCTGTTTTCAGCATAAAATGAGATAATACTTGCAGAGTACTCTTTGAAAGCCTTAAAATGCTATATAAATTACAGCTCTTATCATCATTATTGTCCTACTTCCTTCACAGGTTGGTTGTGAGGAAAGTGCTTTGTAAACCTTAAAGCCCTATGCATTGTGAGTTATTATTGTAATATTAGGGATATAGAATTATGAGACAGGATTCTTGCCTTCCAGAGGCTAACAGTCTAATCAAAGAGACAAGCTACATATACATAAAAATAAAACTAACTATTCTGCCTTCTCCTTTGCCCCACGTTCAGTCAACTGTCAAGTATTACGAAGTGTATCCATGAAATATCTCATATCCCTCGTTCCCCTTTGCTCCAGTATCTCTGCCAAGAAAACCCCAAATAGGGACATAAAGAGTCAGATACGACTGAAACAACTAAACAAAAACATTACTGTTTAATATGATACAATTTGTCATTTCTGTCTCCACAGTCTCTTGCTCGGGTTCTATCACCTCTCATATTTGCCTTCCTTCTAATCCAACCTATATGCTGCTGCCAGGTTAATCTTCCTAAAAAGACAATCTGTATGATGCCATGCTTGCTCACCTTCTCCTCCCCTAAGGCTCAAAAACCTTTCCTGGCTTCCCATTGTGAATTAAGTAAAAATTCCTCAGCCTGACACCCGAGGTTTTCCAAGAAGTGATTACAACCTGTCTGATTTCTGGTTTATGGCCCACTTCCCTCCTCCCCACCTCGGTGGCCCAGCTGACTGTCTCTTCCTCCTGAATAGCCTCTGATTACACCATTCCCCGATCCTCCAATGCCCCACCCCCACATCAACACCTGCTATATAATCCTATACTTCGGTCTCAGTACATATTGAATGCCAACTCCTGGATTCATGGGATCACAGCATGGAGAGCTGGAAGGAACCTTATGGATCTTATGTAGTTCCACTCACACATTTCACAAATAAGGAAACTGAGGCCCAGAGCAGTTAAGCAACCTCTCTATGGTCTCACATGCACTGTCACAGATGCTGCTTTTTGCACTCAATCACACTGCCTCTCCCACATACTGCATTCAAGAAACATTTATTAAGTGTCAGTGAGAGAAAGCTTCAGGTAGGTGGACAGAAGGCTGGTCTCAAGTTCAGGAAGACCTGTCTCAGACACTTCTACACAGCCCTGGGAGAGTAGGTGGAGATTATCAATCTCAGGTTCTATCAGCAATTGGTAGAGGAAGTTCCTCACTGGCAGCCTCCTAAGCCAATGAGATCACAAGTCCTATTCCCACCCTCCCCCCTCCTGCCTCAAACAATGGGCGAAACAATCTGAACGTGTGTAGCTATCTAAAAGATACCTACAGAGCTTTAAAAAAAAAAAAGTAACCTTAGAAGAGACAGTACTGGCAGCTGGCTAGACTCTGAAGGATCTCCTAGGGAATAGGGTAATCAAACCAAGTCTTGAAGGACGCCAGAGCACTTTCCCTGAGTTCCAGGAGACAGCAAAGAAAAGGCACAGGATAAAAATAATACTAACAAAGGCACAGAAAAACAACCATGGTAATACCTAGCACTTAGATAGCACTTTACACATATTATCTCCCTCTAACCTCACAGCAACCCTGGTAGCTAGGTGCTACTGTTATCCCTGATACAGATAAAGAAGATGAGGCATAGAGGGAATAGGTCACCCAGCTGGTAAATTGGCTGAATCAGAGGTCAGATTTGGACTCATGTCTTCCTGACTCCAGATCTAGCACTCTACCTACTGTGCCTACCTAGCTACCTCTAAGGAGAGGTGGAATGCCTTGTGTGAGAAGCAAGTAAGCCAGTACAACCGGAACATATTGTACAGTAAGCTTGGAAAAGTAGGCTCCAGCCAGATTGCAACAGGCTTTAAATGCCAAACAGAGGAGTTCACATAAACCTGAAAGCAATAAGGGGGCAATTGGAGTTTACTGAGTGCATGGTTGACCTGTACCTTAGGAAAATCACTGGTTTCTGGGTAAAAGAAGGATTAGGGTAAGGAGAGACTCCAAGCTGAAAGGGCAATTAAGAGTCTGTTTTATCAGGTCAGGCACAAGGAAAAGAAGATCTGAATCAGAAAGGGGTATATATGAGAGAGATTGTGGAGACAGAAATGACAAATTGTATCGTATTAAACAGTAATGTTTTTGTTTAGTTGTTTCAGTCGTATCTGACTCTTTATGACCCTATTTGGGGTTTTCTTGGCAGAGATACTGGAGCAGTTTTGCCATTTCCTTCTCCAGCTCATTTTACAGATAAGAAACTGAGACACACAGGGTTAAGTGACTTGTCCAAGGTTGCAAAGCTAGTTAGTGTCTGAGGCCAGACCTGAAAGCAGGAAGATGAGTCTTCACCACATGGAAAAGTTCGAAAGAGGGTTGGGTTTAGGAAGAAAGATAATCATTCTGTTTTGAACATGTTGATTTGGGGATGCCTATGGAAAACTAGTTAGAAATGTCCAATAGGTAGCTGGTGATGAGATCCTGGAGCACAGGAGATTAGTTGGATATACAGATCTAAGAATCATCTGCATAGAGATATCAACTCTTGAGAGCTGATAAGATCATCGCCTGAGAAAGTTTAGAGGGAAAGGAGAAGAGGAGCCACGATAGAGCCTTGGGGGGCACCCACAGTTAGTGAGTGTGACATGGCTGATGATCCAGCAATGGAGACTGAGAAGCACTGATCAGACTGGTAGGAGAGGGCACTGTCACCAAAATCCAGAAAGGAGAGAATGTTCAAGAGCAGAAGCTGGTCAACAGTGACAAATGCTGAGATGTTAAACTGGATGAGGATTGAGAAAAGGCCACTCAATTCAGCAACTGAGAACATTGGTAACTTTGTAGTGTAGTTTTAGCTTAAGGATGAGGTCAGAAGGCAGATTTGGGGGTATTTAAAGCGGAAGAGAGGAAAGGAAGCAGAATTAACAAATGTAAATGGGTTTTTCAAAGAGTTTAGCTGAGAAAGGGAGGAGAGATATTCTATAGAATGATAGAGGAGATGGTGGGATCAAAGGAGGGTTTTTGTTTTATGAATGGCTGAGACAGTAGCATGTAGTGAGTGCAGAAAGGAGAGAAGGGGCTAATAGACAGACTGAAGATCAGAAATGGACATATCATAGTGGGGTAACCATTTGGGGAAGACAGGAGGGAATGTAGACAGGATCAACATGTAGAGAGGTGTTCTTGGAAAAGAAAAAGGACACCTCTTCATGTGAGACACAGGTGAAGGAGGAAGTAGAGGGGGATAATATTAGAGGGATGTGAGATGAGAAGTGAAGGGGAAGTTCAATGGCCTTCATTTTTTTAATTAAGTGAAGTTGGAGGTGAGGTCTTCTGATGAGAGAGTGAGGGTGCGGGGTGACATGGGAGTCTTGAGAGTTGAAGAAAAGATTTAGAAAAGCCACTGTAGTGAATAGTAGTATTTCAGTGCATAGGCACGAAAGAATATTACTTCCCTTTATCTAGTCTACCATTCCACCTTAGCCACACACAGGGATGATCACACCACTAATCCTGCTTTCACCCACAAGCGTTCCACTTT